AGGTGAACACTCACGGCGCGATTATCGAGCTGGAACGCGCCTCGAGGACGACTGTGAATTTCGCTCGACAATGTCGCGTAGCCGTAAGTATAGTTCCTAAGCCCTTCGGGTCCGTCGCTAAGCTTATCTCTCTCGCGCGAGAACCCCCGCGGAAAAACATATACATATATATTTCTCTCCGGACGGAGAGTTTTGTTTTCGAACGCGATTTAGCGAGAGAGAAAGACACACGCTCGGGAGGATCCGCTCGGGAGAGATAGCGAATCGACGCGCTCCGACCTTTTTGTACATAGGCCCTTTTGATATACGCTACCAGGCTCCTAGATGTGAGAAGTAGGGTCGTTCCTGTAGAGATCAAGCCCGCCCGCGCGGATAAAGTCCGGGAAAGTTAATAATGTCGTAAGGATCGTCGTGCGCGTACTTAAAAAAAAAAAAAAAAAAAAAACAGATTTTTTTTTTGAGACATCAATCGCGAGAACGGTCAATTGAGGCGGGGAAGATAGAGAAATGTCGACAATCTCGGCAGAGAAGGACACACACGCGGCTCGGCCGCGTAAACGCGCGAAGAACGCGCGAGTTTCTTCTATGATTGGTGATTTTGGATCAAAAGTAAACACGATCGCCTTTTTTCTCTTTTTCATCCTCTATCTCTCTCTCTCTCTCTCTTTTCGTTTTTTTTCCTTTGTGACGCACGCGATTAAAACTCGCGAGGGAACGCGATTTCGCGCGATCAAAATTATAAATTTGAAAACGCGATAATCCCGCGTGTGCTGTTGAAAATATAGGGGGAAAAAAAAAAAGAAATTGTTAATACGCGAAATATTTTCACCGAGGTTGCGCTCGTAATTACTCTTGCGGATTTAATAGAGTGACATATTACGTGGATTTACGAGAATTATTGTGTACGCGCGCGCGCGTATAAACGCACTCGCTTTCCGTTTATTAACGCGATTTAATTACCACGTGAGTAATTGTAAGTCGGCGTTGCAAATTTCACGGTGAAAATTACGCTCTCGAATGTCTCGGAGTGATACGATCGACGAGGGTAAATTGTTAAAAATTATTATCGTCCAGAGTCGGCTTTTCCGCGCGCCAACAAATTGGACCTGTTAATTGACGTAATTAATAAACGTAAATTTATGAGCGGTGTAAAAGCTAGAACGGCGGAAAAGTTGAAAGTATACAAAAAAAAAACATAAATTTGATGAAATGTAATGAAGTATTGGAGATTCCGTCGTTAAAATAAACGTCTCAGACATTGTTTTGCGTGCGTCGCTGTTTTTATTTATTTATTTTTTATTTATTTTTTTTTTTTTTGATAAAATATCACGTATGTTTCTCCCCTTAAATCTCCGAGTCTTTCTTTTTCGTTTTCGAGTTGACAGAACCTGCCGAATTATGTATGCGCCAGATGCTATACATTTCCGTGTGTTTCTTTTTATAAATACATATACTTTCTTCTCTCTCTCTCTCTCTCTCCCTCTTTCTTGCGCAGATATAAATTCAAGAAAACACATGTGTTTCCGAACAGTTATAGGGACCAAGAGTTCGTTTCTCCTGGGTATGTAAACTTTGCCCGTGGCACGACAAAATGCCGGGAAATCGCGATGGCACGATCGAAAATGGGAAACAAAACGAACTGTTTCGAATTTCGCTCACTGGGTCACGCGACCCGAGAGAAAAATTGCATGCAAATTTCGAGAAGCGCGTTTTCCGGGTGCCGATTTTGCCCGAACTTGAAAAAAAAAAAAACAAAAAACAAAAAAAAAGTCGCATAGTTCAGAAAAATGATGATGGATGTTTCGTAATAAAATTCTGCGATTATTTTTATTTTTATTTTTTTATTTTTTTGTTTTTTTGTTCTCACGTCGATAACGCGTTAAAGATGAAAGCTCTTGTTTTTCTTTCGCGTCGTTTCCCGCTGATTCGACCTCTTTAACAAGAACTTCATATCCGTTCTCGTTTCTTTTTGCGGTCGCGATCGATGTAGTCGCGATTGTCAGAAATAGACGATCGCGGTGTCCCTTTGTTAACGAGAATATTTTTCGTTGCATTTTTCATACGTTGTCTAGAAGCTAAAAATATGAATCTGGATTCTTCGATTTTCTTTCTTTCTCCGATGCGGATTTTAGACAACATATGCGTGCACACATCTTTGCGCGATTTTTCTCTCGGTGTATGCGTACGAAAGAAAACAAAGTGGCGAGTAGATACGAGATGCGCTTAGCACGAAGTGTACAGAAGGATCGCGCATAACAAAGAAAGTATAATTTATCGATTGAAAAAAAAAAATAAAAATGAAAAATTGCGCGCGAGCTCTGCGCGAACCAGATCGTCGTAAAAAAAAAACTGCTCATCTCACTACGTCACCGTTAAATAAATAAATTCCGTTATAATCACGAAACAACGCACAAAACGCGTTTAAAAAAAATGCAGCGCGATATCGTCCGATTTTCTTACGTGCTTTTTGCCGTATTGCATCTTTTTTTATATATACATATATATATACATATATTTGTTATCGAACGCAATGACTTCTCTCGAATCATATTTATTATTTCGAACGCCTTGTACGTACGTATGCACAAAACATATATCTATTGTGTTTTTCAAACGTACGTTTCGTACGAAATTGTACGAAAATGTTTTTAGGAAATTTTTTATTGTACATAGCGAGATATAAAAAATATTGATGAAATTACGACGTGTAGTTGAACATGTGAAAAATGTGCGCCGAAAAAAAAATTCGTTGTTTAATCAACATCTCCTTTTTAAAGACTTTTACAAATTTATATATAGTCGATGTTTTTACTTGCCATTTTACAAAAATATTTGAAAGAAATATCCGTCTCTCTCTCTCTCTCTCTCTCTCTCTCTCTCTCTTTCTCTTTCTCTCTATCTCTATCTCTATCTATCTCTCTCTCTGTCGTCCGCACGGTACATGTAATCGTTAACTCGCATTGCGGTGATTTGTCACATTCGCGCGAAGAAGAAGAAGAAGAAAAAACGTCGATCTGATTGCGTCGCAGGCTCGCGGCAATTTTTCACAAGTAGTAGACAAGACGACGATTACATCACTTGCACGTTATCGTAAAATCAATTGACTAACAAGTAAGGCTAATTGTAATGCAGTAAGCGGCGCGCGTGTTACATTGTCAATATTCATAGCGTTATATTGTGATCGTTCATCATTCGTGTTCATCAACCTTCCCTCCCCCTTTCCCGTTGTCACTTCGGTCTCTTCCGCTCGATCTCTTCCTCTCGACGAATTCCGAAGTTGTCACCCTTCATTTTTCGCCCCCTCCTCTCTTCCTCCCCTTTCTCATCATCCGTCGGATATCCTCGACGAATCGTCTGTCGTGCTATTTTCTACGATTTTTGTATAACATAGACAACAACGCAAGTAAATTTCGCCAAGCGAAAAGCCGTCGTGGATCTTCCGTTTGGCAACGGCCGTTTTCACAATCGAACGAAAGCATTTCTCGGAGCATTAATTCTTCGCTCTCAACGCGATCTGTCACTACTTTCTTGATTCCCTCTCCTCCCCCGATCGATCCCTCATCGTCGCCCCTTCTCCTCGCACTTGACATCTAGTGACGTTCTATATAGCTAACGATTCTTGTACATAATAAGAAAGTCGCGTGTGTGTGTGTGTGTGTGTGTGTATGTATGTGTATGTGTGTGTATATATACAATTACAATACGTATATCTGTACGTTATTTAGATCTAAACAAAACAAAAACAAAAAAAAACAAAAACGAAAAAAAACAACATAGGCCACGAATCGAATTTAGAAAAAAAAAACGGAAGCGGAAATTCCGTTTCGCGGCGCGTCGGAAACCGACGATTAAAATAGTATTAGTAACGAAGTTGGCGGTTGTACGGCCAAATGTGTGCGAGAGAGAGACCGCCGTACTTTCAAAAAATATGTGCGTGCGTTGATTGTCCGCGAGCGATTGATTGCGAAAGACGACGGATTAAAAAGAAAAAAGAAACTCTTGCTTAACGTCTAGTCATTAGATTGTTAGTTCTAACCCGGATCTGCGTTGTCGAGAGAACGCGATTCGGCGCGTGAGAGCGTGTTGTTGTTTCTCACTTCTCTTAAGCATTTACACACAAGCATAGATGATTTTTCTTCTCCGCGGCTTTGAACGGCGTGTATACATTTTACACGAAATATCTTCTACGAGATTTCTTTTATTTAATGTTTCTCCCGTGAATGTGAAGAGATGTTACAACATAAATGTAGTATATATTTGTATATATATACATATATATATATATATTTATATATGTATTGATATAATTGATCATTGTGTCATTTTCGTGTGCTTATCGTTGCAAACGTGTGACAAAAATCGGCAGCGCAGATTTCCGGGTCAACCACACTTTTATGCCTAAATTTAAGCTAGTTAGATTATTCAACATTTATATATAATTTCGAAAGCGCGCGTATTTTGCTTTGTATCGACATTCCCTTATTGCGACGTAAGATCATAATTGCACGTATGTAGATAGATATCATCGTATCGTTTTTCCGCGCGTAGAGAAGAATTCTCTTTGAGAGGAGCAGCTTGCACTTTTCCGTTTTGTTTTAATTTCTAACTGCGGAAGCGCGCAGTTGATGTGTTTTAAAATAATTTTTTAATCACACTTTTTCGCACGTGTGTGTGTGTGTTTACGCGCTCTACGAAAGAAAAAAGAAAACAAGAGCCGCAAATATCTCGGTCTTACTCGAGAATGCGTTACTCGGGACTCACTTGGTTTCTCGCCAGAAAAAAACTTCGGCAATCACGTCTGTAATGTGATTTGTAAGTTTCTTTCTTGCTCGCGAAGCGCGGGGATTGTGTGAACTTTTTTGTTTTCTCGTAATCTCTTTGCGAAGAAAAGAGTAACGTGTAAGAGAATCTTTTGAAATTTAATATGAATCAATGTTTGATCGTATATATTTGCTGTTTCGTATGTGAATTTAATGTTCTTCGTCGTTTTTCGATCTATCTGTGTCCTCTTTTTATCGAGCGAGAAATGTAATTATTTGACCAGCGAACCAAATGTGAGAGAGAAACGTTTATTACATATACATATAGCTCTCGTCTGATCAGCCTAAAATCTCTGTACGCAACGGTGTAAGAATTTTAATTAATTAATTTAGCGCTGTAGAGAATTTACATAAACCGCGAAAGACGGTAAAACCGCGTTTGTTTATTTCCGCGTCTGCGCTAATTTTTATTCAATTTGTAATAACCACGCATGCCATCTGTTTGAGTTGAGATCACACACCTTGGACGGAATCGGGTCAGAGAAATGTGTGTTGGGACTATTGTAAATAAAATAGGCTCAATCATGTAACAGTGACAGAAAAGCAGCAATTACAATTACTGTAGAAACAAAGATGTCTTAACGAAATAAACTTCAAATTAACAGAAACTCACTTTTGTATTCATTTACACATCTGCAAAATTTTGCGTACCTGTATGTGTGTGTGTGTGTAGACTCCCCCTGTGCGAAAGGATGATAATAATCAGTCAATATTGCGCAACAAAGTAAGTATCTCTATTATAGTTATTGTTATATTTACAGGTGATGCTGAAAAATTCGCAATCAACGTAAATTGCTCCAATATGTACATGCGCTACGTACTATAACATGTTTTTTTATATTAAAAAAGAAAAAAGTAATCTATATTTGATCTGATAAAAGATTGAATCGTTTTAACGCACTATCTACCTATCATCGATTCTTTGATTTTTTGATCGATCCAGCGACGATAATATGCCACTTTAACGTAAACTCCGGGTTTGTTCGCTTTTCCGCAATGCTGGCCCCAACTGGTTATTCCGTACAAGGTAAAAGCTCCTAATATAAAAAGATACAAAAAATATAAACAGTGTATTAATTAAGATGCAATTTATCGCACATTCGATCCAAAAATAAAATCTTGTTTAAACAATTTTCGTAGAAACCACACTGTGTTTTCGTTTTCTCTCTAAAACAAAAAAAAATCTTTTCCTCGACCGATTTCAAACTTTATTGATTACATTACCATTGTGATGGCACGCCAAGGGACCTCCGGAATCACCGTCGCAGGTGTCGATACCTTCGTCAAGATATCCGGCGCACATCATTCCGTCGCTTATGGCACCTTCGCCGTAAACGTAATCGGCTTTGCAGATTGACTGGTCCAACAACGGGACCCAACCGTATCGCAGGTCTTTCGATTGCGCTGTAAGAGAAACAACAACGATCCGATTTATCCTACAAAGTCAGCTTAAAGTAAATCCTCTCTTTGGTATCCCGCTTACTCGTCTTTCCCGTCTCGATACTGCCGAATCCGCTGATCGTGCAATTGAGTCCGACTGTGTACTTGGTGCTCTCGGACGGCAAGCAAATTGGCATGATATCCTTGCCGAGTTGGATGCCCCGTCCTTTAAGCAAAACCAGAGCGATGTCGTTGTTCATCCTGTGACCTTTCCGGAATTCCTCGTGCACGTAGTAATCCTCGATATTGGCCTCCGCTTCCGTCCCCTCGTCTATCTGATGACGTCAGACGCACGTTGTAAAGTATACACATCACGTGTGTTTGGCAAATACAAATACACGTTTCTCTTGAGATAAAGCGAGAGAGAGAGAGAAATCTCTTATTATATAAATTGGAATTATTTACTCACATCTGTGTTGTAATCTCCAGCGCGAACAAAGTACGTGCCTTTGTTGTAGCCTTCCAAACAATGCGCCGCCGTTAGCACGTGTAAAGGTGATATGATAACCGCGCCGCACCAGTGACTCGATCGACTGTGTCCTCGCACCCGAATACTGGCCTAAATTTTTTATGCCGCGGTTTTTTTTTTTATTTTGTTTCAATTTCACAATTTTGTTTAATGCAAAAAATAAAAATTTGGTTAAAAAAAAAAAAAAAAATGAAAAATCACCTGCCAAGGATAAGTGCCTTTCGGAGCGACGGAGCCATGTACCACTTTCTGAAATATCAGATCGTCGTCGTCGTTGAAATCTTTGGCGCGCTGACCGCAATTCGACGGAAGTACCTCGTCGATATTTATTCGTTCCGATAACTCCGAGTCGCTTATCCAATACGACTGTTCAATAAACAGGATAAAGAGATAAATGAACAAATGCTATGTATGAAATATTGGAAATGTTTATTCGTAAATTATCGCAATTGAACATCATTTACATTTTTCTAGAAATTAATAAACGTTACGCATAATAAGATATAACGTTCTTTCTGAGAGTAAAAAACAAACACACATACGTCTAATATTCTTATTTATAATACATCTTAAAAGTAATTTAAATAAAAATTCTTTCAGAATACTTTCCACTTTGTGAATAATTACGTTACAACGAATAAATGTTTGTTTTGAGTTACCTCAGCATTATTAATATCTCCAGGTGAGCAAATTACACCTGCGTCCTCATTATGATCGCAATTATGCTGACCCCAGTGATTATGCTCGCAACGATATAATTGCGATTCGTTTCCATGACAGAAAACCTAGTTTGCAGAAATAACAGAGAAATTTCTCTGTGGCATTAATTTCTTCAATATAAAATTTATATAATAATAATAATAATATATATGTCTATGTGAAAAGAGCTAAATGTAAAAACAACATCTCAAGAGGAATAAAAGATAAAGAAATGAAAAATTCTTTACGACCTGAGTCACTTTGTTAACAAATTCTTAGAGATGAAAAATTAACATTGTTTTAACTTAAATGTAAAAAATTAATTGCACGATCGCGCAGTACCTCGTCGAGCCATATCGGTCCTTCGCCAGGACCGAAGAAGCCATCTTTCTTGGCTACTGCGACACCACCGTAACCCAGAGATCTGCAAATGACAGTTGCAGTGGCATTCGTGAAGTCGTCATCGCACACGGTACCCCATACCCCGTGATGACGCACTTCCACTCTTCCTTCCAGAAGAGTGCTGCCATTTGCCAGGCGCAGCTCGAACGGCGCCTGAAAACCAAACCGACGTAAAGGAGATCCGTTTTATTCCGATAAGAACTTTCGTCTAGAAACTTACGTCGCAATGCTCCGGACTCTCGTCGGATTGATCCGGACAGTCGACCACCTCGTCGCAGATAAACGGGGTAGGTATGCAGATCGGACTGTTGTCGCACTTCCAGTGACCTTCCTGACAGGTGTGAACCGCCGTCTTGCACACAACGCCCACAGCTTCTTCCGGCTGACAATTGTGAACTCCCCATCTGTTATTTTTATTTTTTTTTTTTTGTTTAAATAATTCGCAATGAGATTTAAATCATCGAGATTTGAGAACCGAGAGAACGTTGTTACAAACGCGAAACACAAGATAGTCTGAACAATTTCTCTACCCGTTAAAGTCGCACTCCCGCAACGTGGTCTCGTTCCCGCGACATTTCAACTGGTCTACCATAAATCTCGTGGGTGGATCGAGATTTCCGTAAAATCCACCCGGTCTAATCTCCAGAGCTCCGAGATCGAAACCGAGCTCGTTGCAGACGACGTCGGCATTGATCATCCCGAAACCATCGTCGCACACTTGTCCCCAAATTCCGTGAACTTTTTTTTTTCGAAAACAAAAAAGTTTTTTTTAAAAAAAACAAAACAAAACGTACATTTGTTTATCTCGATATTATATTTTTGCAATACGCGCGCGTATATATATATATATATACTCCACCTTTAACTTCAATTCGACCCTCGTAGCTGTTATTTGCGCCGGCTAAACGAATATCGTAATCGAGATTTTCAACCGTGCAAACACTCTCGTCGCTGTGATCGCCGCAGTCGTTTTTGCCGTCGCAAACCTGTGTTTGATTTATACACTTGCGATTATTGCAAACATACATGTCGTCGCAGTTCAAGCTCCTCTCTTTCATCTCGTAATAATCGAACTGTTTGTCGGGTTTAAGTGCGCCAGTCAAACCGATATTGCCGGCGCTCAACAAACACATATTGCCGTCCGATCTGAAAAACGTAACTTTGTGTGAATAATTGCTAGTGTTAATTACTATCACATTGTGCGAATTACACAAAGAAGGTAATTAACTCGATCCCTCTCGCAATATCTATCGTGTTTGTTACAACAAAATAAATCTTTTTGTTTTTTCTTTTTGGTATTTCGTTAAAATTTTCAACGAACTTGTGATTAAACGAGCGACAAGTGAAATCCGCTTCTTTGCATCTCAAAGCGCAGGTTTTAAGCGGCGTGTTAAACCACTTTTCCACATCGTGACCCTCGAGTCTGTGCTTCGCGGATTTTTCGAAAAGACCGAGGTCCATCCTGCAGACCCTTTCGTCAGCTCCGTTCGTGCAGTCCTAAAAAAAATAGAAAAAAAAAACATCACGTTACGTTAAACAACAATTGTCTCGTCAATTCAATTCGAATAAAGTGGTTGATTGTCTTACTTCTTCTCCGTCGCAGACCCACGGGGACGGAATACACTCCCCTGGCATGCATTCGAAATGCTTAGGCAAGCACTGACCAGACAGCTTCGGCTTTCTCGGATCTAGTGGAAACAAGTGCGATTGTAAATAATGAAAATACACAAACAAACAAAATTTTACAACACGCACCGATATTGCCACAGGCGGGAATGTCGCAATATTCGCGCTTTCCGGGTGACGTAAAGCACCACGTCCTCGATTCCTTGTCGGGATTGGGATTTCTGCAGTAGTTGTGCGTTTTCAGTTTGTCTCGCACTTCTTTATTGACAATCTGCGATAACGGAAATTAAACTTCTGCACTCTGATCTCTTTATCTCTCCCTTTATTACTTTTTTTTTTTTATGTAATAAAGTTTTTATGTACAAAAAAAAAAACTTACGTTCACGCGCAACTGATGCGCGATTCTCTCATCAGCCCAAGGGAGACACTCCTTTCCCGATGCCGTCACATTGGCTTTGCCGACATATTGATTTCCTTTTCCGTAAATGCAGCCTGGATAAACGTAAATGTGATACATAAACGGCGGAAATATGTATACGTACTCACGTATACATATATGTATTTCGTATTCACAATATATGTATTACGTATTCACGTGTAAAATTTACACGTGAGTTTTTATATTTTCACCGTTTATATATTTCGCGGTTAGAAACCCCTTCAGAGCTTAAGATTCTTTAATAGTAAATGTGATATACATCATCGCGGCGGATTATTAAAAAGCACTTCGAAATAGATTTAACAACTCGTTAAAGCTACCGATATCGTCGTAAGGTCTCTTGCAAACGAGCGAGTGTTCTTTTGTCTCGGCTTCGCAGTCCTCGGTGTGCCAGAAGAAATAATCTGTGTCGCATGTCGACTCCGGTTGTTCGTGACACGGAAATTTCCGTTTCATCACAATGCAAAGAGGACGAGAGCTTCCTCCCGGTGGTAGTTTCGTCTCGTTCATCCATCCCGGCCACCATTTCGTAAACCTGACGTTAAGAGCAAATTTTGAAGATTGTAAGGAAAACTACGTTTTTTGTTTTTTTTTATTTCCTCAAGTTCATCAACTCTCGCACGTTGCGCGAGAAAAATAAAAACAATCTACGAAGAGAAATGTATTTTTGAGACAAATCGAGTATAAAATTCATGTGTACAAACATCCGAGGTTTCGACTCGTACTTGAATTTGGCATGAGCAGAATCGCTCCAGAGCCACAAGGTGTGGCTCATCGTCGTGAAACCGAAGCCGGATGTCATGATCGAGCTAACTTCCGAATGCGACTGCAACAGCCACTCCGACACGAAGTTGTTTTCTGCCTGGCTGGTGATGTCGATGATCCGTGCGTTCCTTCGTGCGCAGTACTCCTGAGCTTCGGCACGACTGAATCCGCTATCGGGATCAGTCAAGTGGTAACATTGGCCCTCATGCGATATCTCGTCCTTGCGGCAATGCGCGACGCGATTAGGAACGCATCGCACGCCAATTGCATCTCTATCCACTCGACATTCTTGATTGTGTGTGAATCTGCATCGGATATCGCCGCAATTATAAATTTCTCACCGCGCGCGAATAAAATTTTCTTTCTTTGCAAAAAAAAAAAAAAAAACAAAAAACAAAAAACAAAATCGCACCCGCGCGAAGATAATCGCGAAAGAAATTTTTTGTTGATTGAAGCAAAAAAATTAATTGTTTGTCAATTGAAATTTCGGATTTCTCTGTTATTTGATATTTCTATATTCGCGAAATTCTGTCCGCAAGTCTCTGAAACTATCTTACTTGCATGATTGAAATCTGGTCTCGTTGCCGACGCACGTCACGGAGTTCGCGGCGATCCAACTTGGCGCTTCGTTGCGATTGTTTCTTCCTTGCCAAGCCATTTCGGCGCCTCTGCAATGAACAAAAGAATTCGTACGATATGTCACATCGCGCTTTTCGCACTCCAATTTGTTCCAACTCAAGATTTATACCAAAAGTGAGGTCTGTTTCGTAAACGAAAATATGTATCGCGAAAAGTTTTTGTTTTTTTGCATACCTAACGTAGCCCAGTTGTCTGCACACAACGTAAGCTTCCTTCAACGTCCAACTGTTTCGGAAATCGCACACAACGCCCCAGCCGGGCATCGCACCCTGCACCTCGACGTACCCCTCGTTAGGTCCGGAACCGCCTCTCAAACGTATCGCCTGTTAATAATACAAACAAACCAGAACAATTAATTTGCAAATCAAAATTAATTTTGAAATTTAGCTCCTTTCCGTCCTCACCTGACCGGATATCGGCGTTCGTGGAACAGATTTTCTCGAGTGAGTCAACGGCTGCACCGGATGTACGTAGTACACGGGGAACGGAGGTTCCTCTGGAAAAACAATTAAAAATTCTTCCATTTATATCTTTTGTTTAATTACCCGCGTTTACTCAACGAAACAACAACCGAAATGTCAAAATTGCAAAATTATTGATGTCACAATATATTTGATGTATTACATTGTTAATAATTTGTTATTAGCGTATGTTAGCGCACAATTTATAAATTATAAATCATGCAAAGATTAAACGCAGAGTCCCGAGCGTGTCCCGTCGAGCCAATCAATTTGTCAAAATAAAATATTTGAGCGCGAAAACATTGGGAACAAAATGCTCCGTAGCGAACGATATTGCGCAAAAAAGAAAAAAAAGCAAAACGAGAGGAAGAAAAGCCATTCAAGAGAGAGAGAGAGAGCGATCGGAGTGAGTAACTCACCAAATTCATTTTTCACGAGCGTTCATTGCGGAAACACACGGATCCGTATCGCATTAAATCTTCAGCTTACCTTCGTGAAACGGCGCCGCCTCTATATTGAACAGTTCGACGTCGATTTTCTTCGGACCGATCTTCATAATAACGGACGAAGCTGTCTCGGTCGTGGTCTCGGTCTTGTTTTCAAAAACCAGTCTGGGCTTCCAGACGTTTTTATCGTCCAGCACGTCCACGTTGTGATCGTCGTCTATCTCGGGCTCGTTGAGATCCGGCAACCGCGAATCCGTGTAAATTACCTTCGTATCGCTGCTGTTCAGATCGTCCTGTTCAATTGAGACGGTTGGCAAATCGGACCTTCTCGTGCCGTTGAAATTCGCGGCGAATGTTCTTTCTCTTCTCGACAGCTGAGTCTTCTGTTGGGTCGGAGTTATCGGGGTCGTCGTTGTGAAGAACGGCGTGGAGTAAACGTGAGTGCCTGGTGGAGAGAGAGAGAGAAAAAAAAAAAATGCAAAGTTTGGAAAATCAAGTTTTTCAACAACGCAAATTGTTCGAAGAAAATATGCTCGCGTAAAAAAAAAAAAAAAAAAAAAAAAACGTACTGTTGAAGACGTAGCTCCGGTTGACAGGCTTCTGCGCGTGTTGATGGATCGTCGAACGCTTATCTTCAATTTCTCTCGTGATAAAGTGACCTTTCACGCCGTTTGCGTTAACGTAAATTCCGTTTGGATAAAGATTCGCTCCCGGATTCTGAGTTGAATTCTTAGATCCTGCGACGGAAATTTATACGAAACGCGCATTTTACACGTAAGCGCGACGTGTCGTTAAAACAAATTATAAACATTGTAATAAAAAACTGTCGAAACTCGCTTCTAGATACAAACCTGAATCCACCTTTGAATTCGAGAAGACGTTCGTTCTTGACGCCCAATGCTGCATCTTTACGTCCGCTTCTGTATCGGCCGTGCTCTGCTGAGGTACGTCACTTCCCGATTGCCATCGGTGCAGTTTATCTTCCGGACTGACCGTGCCTACGGAAATGTCAAGCTTGCGCTCATGTTCAGCAATTCAATGTGAAAATTCTCAGTAATTCTTTTCTTCAAAGTAACTCATCAATGTGTGTTTAATCTCCCGAAAATCCGCATAAGTTGTTTCGCACGATTCGAAATCTTCTCGTTACACGTTAATTGTTAATCTCCCATTACGTGTATATGTGAATATTGCATTTAATACCACTGTGTGTTCTTATTATTAATTTCTCATTAATCCGCGGAACATACATTAACATGCGGCATAATTTCCATGCGTGTCATTAAATTTCATGCGTCGCAACCATTAAAGAGCAACCATCATCACGTTACACGGTTAGCTTTGCTTTGTTTGATGATACCGCGCAATGCACTGATAAGCCCTGTATGTGTTTCTCACAGCTCAAATTGAGGCCGCGCAATACGCGGATATATATTCAATGGTAAATTTAATTTAATTTTTGAAATCAATTGCAGAAACATGTTTGTGATGTAAATAAAAACAAAACAAAAAGATAATTGTAAAGCATCGCGTGACGGCAACATAACAAAATAATTGAAAATTCATTATGAACTGTTTTTGTTTTTTTTTTTTTTTTTTTTTTTTTACCTTGATCCCACTGATCAGTTTGCACTTGTCCTCGATCGTGCTGACCGCGCCACGTACTCGGTTTGACGTCAGATCCGTCAGACTGATTCCGCGCGGTATTTCCTTGTCCCGTCCAAGAAGGAGGTAGTCTATCTTGTCGTGATCCGTCCTGAGTGTGATACCAACTCTCGCCAGATTTATTGGCGCTATTTGGAAAAACGTTTCCAGAGTTCGGGAAATAAGTGCGATTGTAGGATGGAAAATAGAATCCGATCCTTCCGTAATCCTGTCTATTCGGCGCGAAATCGTAATCGTTCCTTCGATTATCCGGCAAATTCCCGTCGGCGCCAAACTTCGTCTTGTTGTATACATTATGAAACTGAACGTTATCTTCGTCGTATCTCCCTGAAGGGAAATACGGTTGAAATTGTCTCTGGTCCGTTCCGTCTGGCGCGCCATATTCCGTAGGATAGCGGGAATCGTGATGGTAATTGTGACCAGGATGCCAATAACCGCCGTCATCCGCATTTGGATTGTGTCCTCCGTAGCGGCCGTGATCGTACTTCCGATCGTAGTTCCGATCGGAAGGAGGTCTAGCTGAGTTCCAATTTGGACTCGCCGAAAGATTCGACGTAGACTCGTAACCGTGAGGAGGGGGATAATAAGGATAATAAGGATGATAATAATAACCAGGAGGAAGAGGAGGAAGAAGAGAAGAGGGAGGAGGAGGGGGAGGGGGAGGATATTCGCGGTTGTACTGATGACGATTTCCATGTTCGTACGACCACGATCCTTTCGGATAAGTCGGAGGATAAGTTCCTTGCGAACTTTGATCAATTCCCTCATGTTGCGTCCATTGTCTATCCGGATGATGACCTTGGAATCCGTAATTACCTTCGAAAGGACGTCCCGAATTTCCACCACCAGATGGTCTCCATTGCGAGGGATAAGTCCCTTGATCCTTGTATCGATCCTCTTCGCGTATGTGACCGTAACGATTATGATAATTAGTAGAGTAATCAGGATAATTAAACGACGGCCTCGCAGTTGGATACCAACGTGGACTCGAAGTCGTCGTGAGCGGCTTCCACGTTGGTCTAAATGTCGGGCTTGGGGTTGTGCTGTAACTTGGTCTGATGTGACTGCGAGAATCTGTTTGATTGTATCGACCGCCTGAAGTCGACCACGACGTTGTACCTCTGGACGGTGACCAGGAATCACCTTCCGTTTTGCGCACTCCATCGCTCGATTTATCTGTAAATCAGAGAAATTGTCCACCGCGCTTATTTTCAGAGAATATGAAAAGTATATAAAATTTATTATTTAAGATTATTTGGTTCGTTAACGTTAATTACCCGATTTACAACCGGGCACGTTGTACGGCCAGTCGCAAACCGTGGTAAGAGGGTTGAAAGCCGTTCCGGGACCGCAGTCCATTACGAAAGTTGCACCGTGAGCGCATTGGAGGAATTTTTTACACGTCTCCGGATGAGGCAGCAGTCCAGTGAAATCGGCAGGACACGAAATAACTTTCTTCACTTCTTTGTAATCCGACTTGTATCCGGAGTGCAAATTGGGAGGTGTGAGCGGTGCATTGTCTTGGTCAGATTTAAAAGTGTCTGTCAAAATTGCAAATTTTGTTACATATAAAGTCTCTTTAAAAAAATTTATATAATCCACAAAAAAAAAAAAAGATATAAATTGTCACCTTCGCAACCCTTTACGTTACGCGGCCAGTCGCACACGCCGATGGCGCGGTTGAAAACTGTTCCAGGGCCGCATTTCATAATGTAAGTCGCGCCAAAAGCGCATTGCATGAACTTCGTGCAGTCTCCGTGATACGGCAACAAACCCGTTAAGTAAGCCGGACATTTCGGCTCCTGTCGATCATCATCAAATCAATCGATTAAACTTTAGGAGCAATATGTGGGAAAAAAAAAAAAAATCAAAATTTTAAATTGTTTCGCTTTGTGACGTCAAAGTGTTAAACAACGTCGAGCCAACGCACTTGCAACTTTTGCGGTTTCCGCGGATTAACATCGGAATCCCACGGCTCTCTCAAATCGGCCAATTCGTTCTCGTAGCATTTCACTTTGTGCGGAAAATCGCACTCCAGGGTGTCGGGGTTGAAGTGAGTTCCCGGGGCGCACGGTTGCACGTGCGCGCGTCCCTTCCAGCAGTTGACGAAAAACTTGCAATCCGGCGGATAAACAAATTGCCCGGTGGAATTGCGCTCGGGACACTGGACGCCCGAGCGGGAATCGTATCGCGCCACTTTGAGCTCCGGTTTGTTTTGCGAAGACAATATGTTTTCCTTTCGCGGTTTCTGGAGACAAAAAACCAATACGCGAAAAGTGTGAGAATAAATGCGAATGTCATTCTAAACGCGTAAGAAAGAAACTCTCGTTCGTAAGAACACGCTCGTGAAAAATTACCGTGCTGTCACTCGCCACGCCCTCGTACAAGTCCTCCTCGTCGTTCTCGCGCGTAGTTTCTTTGTCATCTCTCGACAGATACTTATGTTCGAAATCAATTTCGTTCTTTCGAGGCCGACCGCGATTTTCGTGTCTCGATTCATCCTTGAAATTTCCACCGTGAGTTTTGTCGTAGGGCGGCGCCTCGATCTCGAAGTTCTCGTCGAACGGTTTATTCCATATCAATTTTTCATACTCGCGTTTCTGAGTTTCTCGTCGTTCGTCGGGAAATTTCAAATCGTGTTGTTGTTCGGGAGGAACTTGCGCAAGAATTTGTTCGGGAATTTGCTTGGGAACTTGTTCGAACGGATCGATTTGGGTTCTTTGTTCGATCTCGCTACCCGGAGTTTTTCGCCACGAACCCCAACTCTTCGTGGCGGTCTTTGACGCGGATCCATCTTCCTGCCATTTTGGGGAACGAGAATCTATTCGCGACTCGTTCGCTCTGTCAAACGAATGCCAAGGTAGCTCCGATTCGCGACGCTCTGGCGGCTTCGTAGTCGTCGCTTTTGGATCGTAGATCTGCGGTGATAGAAAAAAAAAAAACAAAAACTTGACAACAAAAAGTTAGCGGTGTGATTTTTAACTGTTGAGTATTTAAGCGGGGAGACAGAGAGAGAGAGAGAGAGAAAAAGAGCGCAGTGTCGATTCGGCGAGTGTTTGTCTCACCGCGACTGTTTAAAAATCGATTGCTTTTTGCACAAGTAAAAATCTTGTATTTCTGATTCGATAATACGCTTGCTTGCATTTTTCGAAACGAGAGAAATGTGTTGCGCACTTTTTTCTGCATTCCTGCGACAGTCTTCGGTTGAACCATCGCGCGTTTGTATTGTCCTCATTCGTTGTCGAATGTGCGTGCGCGCGAGGTCGAGACTCTGTGTTTTTTTAGATTAAATTGTGTACAGCGAAAACAAACTCGATGAGTCGGGAATTTTCGATAAGATCGGATAAAAAAAAGAAAAAGAAAAAAACAGAGACGTATCGAAATCTTTGATACTGAAGACGTCACGCGTCAAATCATCGCGCGCGCGCGCGCGTGTGTTTCAAAATCAAAACATTTTACGCAAAACTGCACGTATGTGAGTTCAGATGTAAATATAGGAATGAATTAAGCGATTGCAACATGATTGCAACAAAATACGCAACGCGGGCTCAAGTTACAAAAAAAAAGAAGAAGAAGAAGAAAGAAAGACTTTTTGACACGTGTTCAGATTTTATCTAATAAATCATGCGTTTCTGCAGACTAAGAAGAACCGATTGCCACATTTGATATTCGTGACATCTACGCATCGACGTTATATTATATAACAAGTGATCAATCGACGCGCAGTGAAGTACACAGTATTTTCTCGAAATCCACTCGTCGGTGTGTCGTAGCGTGTGTGTGTGTGTGCGCGCACACTATCGAGAAGGAAATTAAGAGCGGCTCTCGATTTTTATCGAAAACGCAAGTTCAAAGGTGAATGCAACTTCGCTTTTATCTCTCGAGAAAGAAAGAAGGCGGAATTGAAAAGATTTAAACTGCAAATCGCATAGACGCGGCGGTTACTCGCGCGCTCTTGTGTTTCCAAAAAGTTACTCCGCTCCCGTTCAAACGAACGGAAGTTGAAAACGTGAAAAGTCTGATGCGATCCGGATGATAATGACGTTCTCTCACAACAAAGAGCAATCAACAACAACAGACAGACAGGTAAAACGTGTGATGCACCACATACCGCGCAGGAAGGAACAGCGACGAAGCAGAGAAGCGCGACGAGGAAGCGATTAAACCACGAGATCATCTTCGCTTCGTACTACGAGCATGTACCGAGCATCGTACCGAACTGATTCTTAACTTGTCGTAAAATTGTTACGCTACGCGGGAACGCCGATCGGCGTCGCTTTACACAGAAACAGATGCAGAAAAACTTGCGCTTCACGGAAATCGGAGGGTTATCAGACCTGAAAAGGTCGAGGCTTTGAGTTTGTTTAGGAAGAAATACTCTGAAACCGGAGAAGGAGATAGAGAGAGAGAGAGAGAGAGAGAGAGAGAGAGAGAGAGAGAGAGAGAGAGAGAGGCAAAGGTCTTAATGCGGTTTAATGTGCGTCTCACATATACAAGCGCGCGCTGGAAAACAAAAAGAATCGAGCCGACATGTGCGTGTGAGCGTTTCTCGGCGTAACGAACGAGCGACTGCAAACAAAACCATTTGCCAATTGGCGATGCGCGCAAGCAAACTTAAACTCGTTTTATCAGAGTTATCGCAGAGGTTGATCTTAGAGACACCGACACGAGAAGGAATGGTTTTTTTTTATTGTCTCAAGCAGCGTTTTATTGAGAAGAAGACATTATTTACGATATATATACAATGGCAATTTTCGGCTCAAGCAAAGAGTCTTCGTGACAGTCGGGTGTCGCAGTTGACGGATCCGCGTCGGTGGGTGCAGGTGTAGGTGACCGGGTCGAAGACGTATGTGGGATCGCACGTCATCAGCTTGCACCTGCCGCTGCTGCACATCATGTACTTGTGACAATTCTCCGGATAGGCCATCACCGTGTAAGACTTGCCGTCCTACAGAAAACAAAGACGACACATACGATCTTCCGAATTTTTATTGTCTTGAAATTTCATTTTGCTTTAACGCAATATTTCGGTCTAGTCTCAATTATCTTTTTCTGTTTTTTACTAAAAAAAAGAAAAAACGCGCAGTACTGAAAGATGTAATAAATTTTTATACGCGCTCTTGTGACTCTTGGTCATTCGATTCTTCGTAATTTAATTCTCCTGATTGATTTGTTTTCGTTCAAATAAAACGAATAAAAGACAAAGAGTAGTTGCTGTTGGTAGTCAATTAACTCAACTTACCACAGTCACCTTCTTGACAGCACCGACGAGATAACAGCAGCACACCAGAAGCAACAGAGTCAGAAATCGGAACGACATCCTTGCGAACGAGATCCTCAGAAGTCGATCTTCAAAATCTGTCCAACGTGAAACGAGAGTCGATCCCGGTCTGTCTCGTGACTATTTATTGCAGATCCAATTGAGCGGAAATTTTCCGAAACGCTGATGCCGATCGTCACAGCGGGAAGCACCGCAAATTATTGCGCCGTTTCAGACGTTCACGGAATCAATTTATCTGATCTGAGTTTGCGAAAAAAAAAAAGTCGGTTATCTTCTCCTCGGTGCATAAGCGAAGGTCGCGTCTCTCCGCGCTGCGTTTCTCTTTTTGCAAGCACACCCGTCGGACACCGTTTGATCGTCGCTCGTTCTCTGCACTCGTCATTACATCGCAGTGGCGCTATCACACCACCGAGCGACAGTGCGACATTTCATCGCACAATCATCTCTCTCGCGAGATTATATTTCCGCAACACTTCACCGACAATGTCAATTCGCACGCGAAAAGATTCTCGCTCAATAAACTTGAAACACACATTGTGTGTATATAATTTAATTTTATATTATATATTACATAATTAAAATACAATTCATTTGCTTTTTCAAACTACGAAGCAGAGAAAGCGCAACAGATAAACTTTGCTTTAGACGCAGCGAGAGACATTTTCGAACAAAATGATACACAATTTTTAAAGCAATATCATAATTTTATTTTGAACACAATGTGAAAACAAAGTTAAAATCCACACGTCCGAAACAGAAGCGGAGGTAATCGGACAAAATGGATTTCCCGTATCTTCGCAAGCGCCGCTAGCTGAAGTTGCGGGTGAAATCTCTCATCCGCGATTATTGCAACCCGAACGATCTCTCAGTGGATAGTCGCAGGTACCTATAGCCGGATTGAATTCCGTTCCTATGCCGCAGGACATGACAAAGCAGCCGCTGTTATCGCATTGTTGATACTTGGTGCAGTCGCCCGGATAGGGCAATACATGTGCCTAAGTGAATAAATCGTTCAATTAGCTTTCACAGCCGCAACAAAGAAGAGAATAAGGTCGTGCGAATGAAAGAGAGCTATTTCTCTCTCTCTCTCTCTTTCTCTTTCTCTAACAGGCTGTGATAAAAAAATAAAAAATAAAAAATAAAAAAATCAACGCGAAAACACATTGCAGAAATCATCTGCACAAACAACGTGTCTCGATATATTAAACTGATGATGACACTTCTCTGTTTATCTTCTAATCAATCTTGTGAGGGGAAAAAAAAATCAAACATTTTACGCTAAAAATTGCGTACAACAATTTTCTATTATTTATACACGTCACGACGATAAATGATGTTTGCGTATATATTAAAAAATCACAAAAAAATACCCGCATCACATTTTGTGTTGGAAAATTCAAAGATTATTTGCACATAAAAACAAAAAAAAAACAAAAAAAACAACAAGCGAGAAAGAGCAATAATTCTACTTCGAACGAGATGCTTTTGAGTTCAAGTTCCGAGAAGCGTTTTGCTTTCGTTCACATGACTCATTGACACTCATTGACGTTAATAATTCCGGGCTTTCTACTGACGAAGTGCGGTACTTACTTGTACTTGTGTCATTACAAGCGGCACTGAACACATCACCAGACACAGTAAAATTATGGAAGACTTCATCTCGTTCGTGTGATCGTTGTTCGATCGTCGTTCGATTCAATTCAACTCAATTTTGCGTTTGCATCGCGAAGAAGAAATCGAACTTTATATAGAAAATCTTCGAACACGATGAAAAGGCAATGTTATGTTGCGCTATCATGCTAGATGCGTTTTTCTGGGTTACGCGCGTTTTCTCGTATTTTCGTTATCTCCGGTTCACGCGAAGAGGGCAAAAGGTGACATGTATATAACCACGACGTTTTTCAACAACTGCAATATCTTCTCTTCTGTGAGCGGGGGAAAAAAAAAATGTACCTGCTATCGCAATAGCACGTTTCATTCGTCGTGTTTACTATTGATGGAAACGCGCAGACACAAAGAGCTGCTTCTTTATTGCTTTTGATTTATACCAAAAGGTGTTGAAATAATAATGGGAGCAATTATTGTTAACACACGGCGCGCACACACACGTCCCGCTCGTTGATGAAACGAGGACATTATTGATCGACTCATTTTGATACAATGCCGAGGTATAATAAACTAGCGATAAGCACCGCTACTATTAAAAAAAAAAAAAAACCTAATACGCTTCTGATCGATAAAAGTTTGCGTTCAACAAAAAGTAATAAAAGATAAATCTCTCATTGTGGCGCGCCTGAAGTATTATTCGGAAAATATCGATACAGTTCCATCAACTTGTCAGTTACATGATTGCGGCGGTCATTTTTTTTTTTTATTTTTCTCTTATTCAAAAGAAATGGAAATCGCTAAACGCGTTCTGGAGAATTTTGTCGATTGCCACGCGAAGTGTGAATCATTCGTTTAAAAATAAGAGAAGGAAAATAAATGAGATCAGAGCGACGTCAGAGAGTTCTTCCAAGTGGATAAAAGACTGTTTCTCAGAATCTGTAAGCGAAATGTGAATTTTTATTTGTGCAAAGAAATTGCGCATGAAAAATATATATCGCATTTGCATCTACGATGGAGTGTCCACTCGTTTCTTAAACTGATATCTGGCTGTTATTCGCCGGCGCAGCAAAGCGTACGGATGCGGCGATTCGGATGCGGTCACCGGCACCTTCGCGAGCCGACGTAACTTCGGAGACAGCAGAATCAGATTTTGGAAGAGACCAAACGCGCTGCTTGTTGTCCAGTACAAGCTCACGCACTATAAAAAAAAAAAAGAAATATATTGAGTTACTTCTAAAAATTGTTATCTTTGTTTTACATAAATAAGTTTTGACTCACCGATGGTACATACATAGCAAGAGGAATCATTCCTATCGCAACGATTCTGAAGAAATTAGTCAGGTATTTCTTCCATTTTGTCATTTCCTGAACTCTACTCATACAATTTATCTGCACGTTTGAAGAAAATTAAAAATATCCCGTAATATTTTTTTTTTTTACAGAGATCTCAAATCGATGAAAACTCACTTCGATAATAGCTAAGTTAAACAATGCCATTGCTAGGGGAAGTACAAACGGATCTGTCGCAGTCAAATTCGTCATCCACAGAAACCCGCCGTTTATGAATTCCTGATAGGTAGCGTAAGCACCTGTAAGGATGTAAAAAAAAAAAAAAATTAATAGAACACGTGAGAGAGACCTACTTATTATTTCAATAATGTCATTCTTACTGGCGTCTTGTTTGGGTAGCATGTAACATAGGTTTCTAATGGACACCGATAACGACACCCATAAAGGAATCTGTACCAGCACTACCAAACTAGCTTTTGCCGGATGACAGTTCTCCCGAACAATCAATTTGTTCCATTGTTTTCTCGCCTGCAATAAAAAAAACCATATTTAATACGCACGAGTATCTAAAGATTACGTTACGCAAATTTCGTTATTAAGTCACACTCTGACTTGAAAAAACTCAATCGATCTAAAACATTACCTACAGAAAGATTGTACAATCGCCTGGTGTAATCATCGGACCATTTGTACTTGTGCTTCCCGTAAGCTGCCTCCGCCTTCATTTCTTTGACCAACTGGTTCATTTCAAGTTTGAGATTTTCCAATTTCGCCATTATGTATTGCTAAGAAATATATTATATTCTTGTAAGAAATCACAAGCAATCTTGAGTCTTGGAACTGTGTAACAGATATTTTTTGTATAAATCTACCTGATAAAAGGACAGTGGCAAAGTTAGCAGAGTTCTCAGCGAAACAGTGGCAAGTACAATCACCGCCCACCACGGTAGACCTGTACAGTCGTGCATCCATAACAAAGAATCCTGTGTCATTCGAACAGGTGCGCTTTCTGATAATGTTTTGTAAAAGCCAACAAATTGCAACGAGACATCGGCTTTCGGAACGAAGTCATCGCTGACGCTCGATGAGACACTTGAAAAATATCTGACGTTGCTGTAATGTCGACGGTGTGTTTTGCAATCTGCATGTTTGTTTTTATGATACAGAGTTAGATGAGAAACAATCCGGGGATGAGACACGTTATTGTTTGCTCTCAAATTATATTGTTCAGGAGCTTTATTTAATGACGCGCACGTACTGCATCCGTCGCATGCGGTACGATGTGAGAGACTCGACGGCGCACAAAAATAAAAACAATTGTTGATGTTAACTTGGGAAACTCGCTTGAATTGTCCTAAGAAGAGACTCTTCGGCACCTTTGTTACAATCATAATAAAAAAACCTGCAGATGAACAATATAGGTAATTACAAAGATTTATGCTGAACACGTCAATATAAGATTAATTTATTATTTCTTGATATGATTCCTCATTTTTACTATGTTTGCACATTCATGTATGAAAATAAAACAGTGTCACTACTGATTGTTATAGGTTAGGGTTAAAATTTAAAGGCGAGGAGGTTATGTGTACATACCGAAATAAGTACTTGTCTTTCGGTAAGAACGATATCTATATTAACATCACAATTACCCAGGTATGATAATATTAACGTCATAAGATAAATTTTTGTGGTTATCAAGTGAATCTATAAAACGGTAGTCAACAATTTAATTTTCTACTTATCATATGTAGAAAATTATCTTATATTTATATCATATTTAGAATTATTCCATCTCATTTGAATTGTGTTGCGTGTAAACGCAAATAAGCGATTGAGGAACACAAATTTACATACATTAAGAAGAGAGAGCTTGTATGTACATGTAAAATTATTTTCAGATATATGTGAGACAAATTTTGATTTATTTGTTATTTTAATATCAGTTTTTACAGAATGTATTTTATATAAATAAACTATTTTTTTTTTTATTTCCGCAATTATAAAATTCCGTAGCACACGGTAGAAAAATATATTTTTTTCGCAATCTCGCGATATATAACTGTCATTTTTGAGCAGAATTTGAAGTCGTTTCGAAAAAAATCGTCGAGCTACTTTTCAACAAAGTCTCTCTCCGCCGATCCTTTCTCTATTTCCTCTCAGTCGTATCTTTCACTTTTCTCGTCTTAAAGAAACCGGCAGGGCAAAGAAAAGGTAATAGGATACCGTGACGGTGTGCAGATGGGGTTGAAGAATCCGAAGCGGAATTACCTAGCGGATTACGCCAACCCGAACCCTAGAATCCGAATACGAAACTTCTAGGTGGAGAACTTCATCCGCATCCGGGTTATTAAAAGCGGCTCCTCTGAAACCCTTTCGCGCGCGCAACACCGGCACAAAGAGCGTCGCAATAAAACATATGACATATTATTTACAAATTAAAATATCCGATTTCAAAATATTCCGCGTTTTTCTACTTCGTCAATATTGGCTCTAACCAGCTTCCGCGCGTCGGCGTAACGAGGGAAACTCGTCGTGCATTTTTCACACGCGTTATTTTACGAAAAAGAAGAGAAAGCGCATAAAATATGATCGGGAAAAAAAAAAATATGCAAAGAAAGTCTTAGACGGAGATTGACGAATCTCTCTTTCCCAGAGTCATCTCATAAACTACAGAGGACTGAGAAAACTCTTTCCGTATATCTTTTTCTACACATTCTTGTGCGAAATGGTAACAAAAAAAAAAAGAAAAAACGATACAAGGATACACTGAAGAAGGCAACAGAAATATCGTAAAGAAGTCACGTTTTTCTTTCATAGTAACAGATTTGTAAGCATTTATCTTTCCGATTGTGGAACAATATTGTGCGCTCCACGCACGGCATTCGTGTCCGCGTTACATTTATATTATTTCTTTTTTTATATATTGGAAAAAAATTCACAACTAGAACTTACTGCACGATTCTCCATTCTTTTATCTCGAATAACCACGTGAGAGAACGACGCTACCGAAAGTGTTTACTCGAGATTTTTTTTTATTTTTTTTTTATCCGGTATCTCTTGAAACTGGGAGATACCACTCTGTCCAGAAACCAAGAGAAGCAACAATAATTCTTCTTCCGAAGAAAAAAAATTTTAGGTATCTGACACATTGCGAAAGATGTGTAAGGCCTGTTCTACAATACAGTCGTAAGCCCTAAGTCGTAAGAAATTGACCAATCACAATCGATTATTCTTCTGTGATTTATCTGTGATTGGTCAATTTCTTACGACTTACAGCTTACGACTGTATTGTAGAACAGGCCTAACAAAAGTTAACTAACAATAGTTCGTCCGTGTCATTGTTTTTCTCATCTCTTTATTCTCTCGGAAAAAGATCCACAGCACATGTAAATTACTTGCCGTTTTGTATCACGCTATTCTTTGTGCAGATAAATTATTACAAATTGTTCTATCTGCACGAGGAAGATGATTTAAATTACGATTACGCGCGTGCAATTTGATTACGACGTGACGCTTTATTGACGCAATAAGGCGTCACGTGACTATCTCGCGGAGGCATAAATAAACGAGGACCCGGGCTGAGTGCGCATTTTCGCGATCCACCAACACGAGCCCCGACGGCGGGATGGTACGACACAACCGTCGTTTTCCAGAAGGATACAATAAACGCGAGCGAGAGCCAAGCACTCGTTAAGAGCGGGCCCCGAAGGCTCTAATTAAAATAACAAACGGAAAATCCGCGAGAGAGTTTCCGCCGCGCCCGCAGAAACTTTCTCCCCCTCCCCTCCCTGCCTCTTCGTTCCAGCAGGCAAACTACCCCATCCCACTCGACACGCGCCCTCGTCGAAGAGGACCCGGGCTTCGCGAACAAACCGGCGGCAACTATTCAGCTCTCGGCAACTGTGTGTATAAATGTTTCCGTATTATATCGCGCTACACTGTCGAGGGTGTTATCGCGCCGATAGGGGTTAAACCGAGAGAAAGAGAGAAGTGTTTACGTATTAAGAAAAAGAAACACACACACACACTAAAGAATGCGCGATAAGAAATGATGTAAAAAAACGTACGAACAATAAAGATTAAATAATTGTAACAAACCTCGATGTATTATTACATACGCACAAAATTGCAAAATAAATTAATAGAGAGACTGTAAAATAAATTAATAAAGTAATAATTGTCAGGATTAATCATTACGTCTTCGACGTAATAATTTTAATTCGTTGGCTACGTACTCGCACACATTTGTAAAACAAAAAAAAGAAAAAAACAATACAAAAAGTAAACATAAATTTCTGTACGAAGCGCATGCTGTGCATACAAGAAACGAAATAAAAGACAAAAGAGTGATAAAAGGCAAGAAATATAATTGTGATGAAAATAGAAAAACGCGAATCACGCGGAGAACGCGGATAGAGTCGAAAAATTGTAACAAGCGTTTAATTGCGCGCGGGAAAAGACGGGAAACCGGAGGCTGCGGAGGATCCGCGCGCGAAGGAAAACATCGGAGGAAATAAAGGAGACGATAAACGAAAAGAACAAAAAGGGTCGAAAACGTGGGAAGGGATAACCGCGACGAGGGGGCGAGCGAGGAAAAGGAACAGGCGAGAGACTAACCGCGAAGAGGGGTTGGCGTTTCTGTTCGGAATGGGGGTTGGTTCTGGCGTCTCGTTACAGCGGTTGGCTGTCGGAAGCGCGGATGACGCGGCGGGGAAGAGGGCGAAAACCCCCGAGGGGGTTGAAGCCGGTCTCGCCGTGTTTTTCGCCGATTGAATCAATTAAAGAGGAAAAACTCCCGGGGTAAAATATTCGAGACGTGTCCTGCACGTCGTGCCACGCTCGCTCGCGCGCATATATGCGTTGCTCGTTCGTTCGTTCGTTCGTTCGTATACCGATCGAGAGATCGACGGGCGCGCGGGACCGCGCGCGGGATTGTCAGGTATCGAGAAATCGAGGTTTCTCGGTGATTTGCGAGCTAAGATCTTGATGTGAAAAGCACGCGCTGATGCGTGCGATTTTTAACAGCCAGGCAACCGTTTCAAGATTGTGTAAATGTCGATTCGCCGCCATGCATTTTCTAGTAAAACTAAAAACAAGTTCGAAAAATAAAAACGACACAATTAATACTCTTTTGCGAACTTTTTGCTACAAAAATAGTTTTTTCTGTAACATTCAATTACTTAGCATGTGTCATTATATTTATTATCAATATTTATTATTATATTTATTATATTTATATAAAAATCAATTTGCATATATATATATATATATATATATATATAATATTTACTAAAATTTTCTCAAAGGAACACGCTTCAACATGCCAGTTGCAAAGACAATTTAGTTAAATAATTTAATGCCGTCGATGAAATATATTATTTCCTGTTGAAAAAATGTTCTTTGTGGCGGAACGAGAGATATTTTTACGAACGTCAGAGCCTAACACGGGGAGTTTGCTTGCGCAAGGTGTTTCATGTTCGCTCTGTAACGCGATCGGGATAAGACGCGCGCGTATGTAGTCGTCGAGCAAGGACCTAAGAAACAGGCGGAGGAGAAACGAGCCAGAGGGACAGAGTGTCAGGCAACAGGGTTTAATCTCTTAATTACCGTAGAATAGGCTCGCACCGCGTGCGGCCGCGCTAAAGACGATGCGGGGATTACCGGTAATACTACTCCCGTAAGTCCGCCATCCGGCTTGTTTGTTAAATAATATCATCACCATCAGGACTATATAGACTTGCACAACAACAACTCCCGCTTGCGTTCGCGCGATTCGCATGCGCGGTTTCAATCGATATCTCTTTCTCTTTCTCTAAAAAAAAAAATAAAAAAAATAAAAAGCGACAAAATTCAATTTATTTGTCGTGTAATTTATTTTTTTATCGCACGTTCCAGTATATTTTTTTCTATTTGTGTGATGTGTATTAAACTCGCAAGAAAACACTTGACATAAGTAAATTCGACATCGGGTTTCGAGAGATCTCGTGCGACACCATCAGCTTTGACATTTTGCAAACAGCGACGACGGAAATGGCGATTCAGCAGATATTGGAGAGGAACGACCGAGGGATTCCTAATTGACAGTCTCGCAGTGTGGGAGCCGCGATTCGCCGACATGTCAGTTCGTGATCCTGCAATCGTAAGCGTAAAATAAAATAGGGCGAGCGGAAGTGCAGCAAGCGTTTAACGAAACGATCGAAAGAGGTGCGCGATGTAAATTTTTTTCCGCTAATTTTCCTCGCTTAAAAATTTAAGCAATTTTATCTAAACGCAATTATTTGTAAACAAAACATGCTCTCGAGATATCTGACCGGGAATCAAGAGACAATTAGAAATTTTAATTTTACTTTTTTTTCTTTGAGAACGTTTAGGAAGGACAAAAGACATATTAAATAAATAAATGCTATGGTTTAAACAAATTTAAACGTTGAATAACGTCTGTTTGAATTAATAGATTTCTTTGCTCTTTCATGTGTGCGCGCGAACAACAAAATTGATACGCGTAAGTGCCACGCGTAAAACATATAATTTTCCTGCGGATTAATCTCTCGCGCGCGTTTCCGATACGGATTAA